TTCACTTTAATGTATATTCTGTGAAGCGCTTTGAGATGTCTCAATGGCGTGATAAGGCGCTTTATCGTATGCAAGGATTATTATTACCACTAGTTATCTAATATCTGACACACCTTCAGCTGAGAGACAAATAGTTTTCTCTATAATTCAGACTGACCACTCTTCAAGAGTAAATCAGCAACACTAACTAAATATTAGAATGGTAGTTGCGAGTGAGTTTCCAAAGGCAATTCAATCTCAAGGTTCAACTTACATTCATAACCCTTTCGAGTCCCTACTCTCCTAATTCAAGACGTCTCAATTAAATACTTAAAATTATTCAACTAAATACAAAAAAAAATTCTAGGCACACTTCTCCAAAGACTAATTTCCCCCAGAACGATTAAGAAACCATCCACAAATTTCACACAAAAGATAATTCCACAATTCCACATTGGAAGATAAATTCATTTGGAGATAAGATACAATAGAAATAGTGCATTTTCAAAACAGCAATGAACTGTTTGAAGTTGAGATGGTATTTGACAGATTGAAAGCTGTAATGGTGGGGGGGAGAAACTAATCTGAAATTTGACAGACACTGTATTTCACTTCTCAATATGTGTTCTTCATAGTGGAACTGGGAGAGATAAAGAACTGCGGACCCCTATTGGCAAGATACATTTAGTTTGGCAACTCGTGCTTCATATTACATTAAACCTCAATATACTGAGACTCACTGTGAGATAAATGGATCTTGCAGATAGGGAATCTCTGAGATTCCAGACATCAGCATTCAACCCCAAAACAGCTCAGGCAAAGTTAAGCCAACTCACATTTGACAGTGAAATAATTATAAATTATCACCAGCAACACTCAGGAGGAGAAAATTAATCTTCAAACTTTCCCCAAAACAAGTTAGTTGAAGGGTGCTTTTTATTTTGGCTGTGCAATAAACAAACTCAGCTGAACACTGAGCTGATGGGAACAGCTTGACTATCATTTAAACATGACATTAACAAGCACACATCCTCACTGTGGGGGGGGAAGCAAATTACTCGGGAGTTTTCACCCATACAATACCTGTCTGATCAACCGATTTTCATATGGACCATTAAAAAAAGTAAGAGGTTTCATACGGTGGAGTTGTGCTCATTTGCCAAAATTGCGAATGATTAACTTGTGATGATTTGCTTTAAAGGATTCATGTTTATTTTGATACCAGGACACCAATACTCCCAAATAGTATGTGCAGTCACTGTCTCGGGCACGGAACAGGGTGAGGGAGAAGGACCTTGAGAGAGCATCTCCCAAATCAATCATCATCCTGTTTGTGGGACACTGCTGTTTGCAATTGCCTGATGTTTTTCTCCACAAAATAGACAGTCAATCCATTTACAGTATATCCTGTGAAGCACTTTGAGATGTCTCAACGAGGTGATAAGGCACTATATCAAATGCAAGGATTATTATTATTATCAAATTCACACCCAATCAGTGTCTAAGACAGGCTGGTCTACTATCATATTTTTTAATCTAGTTCCCCAATCTATTTTAGCCAAATCTTCTCTCATACCTGCAAAGTTGGCTTTATTTAGATTTAAGACCCTTGCTTCGGATTCAACTATATCACTCTCTAACTTAATGTTAAATTCCATCATGTTATGGTCAAAGAACCCACACTGTGTTCATCTTTGATGCATGCACACAAAAGTAGGGAGTTAATATGACCACAAAGAATGTCCCTTCAAAGCTCTTTGGGATTTTGCCTGTCTCCTCAAATCTACTAATTCTATTTCTTCCACCTTTGAAAACAATGTGTATAAAATCTATGACATTTGGAACAGCAAGAGTACAAGGTGAATTTCACTCACAAGTTGGTAAACACAGATCCGACCCATTCCCACGGAAGGTTCTTTTGGCTCAGTCCCCATACTCCAATCCTGGCAGAACTATTATTTTTACTGAAAATAACAGCATTGGGGAGCAATTCAAAGCTGCTGACATAATACAAATCAGCGAGCTTTTCAAACTAATTTTGCATGACATTTGCATTAGTCAGAGGAAAAATACAGTATATTTATATCAAAACATTCATGAATTCAACACATCATTTTACAAGATGATTGACGATCAAACATAGTGCAGTCTCCGACACGGCTGACGAACACAACCCTTTCCTCCGCCACAAAACCACAGCCTTCTTTCACAGCAATATTGAAAAGAACCCACATTGCCTTCATCTTTGATGTAGGGAGTTAATATAAAAATCCAAATCTCCACCCCTCCTGATCCCAACCCCCAGCTCGGGTCCAAATCCCTGATTATCCAACGCCTTCCCGACACAAAAGGTGCCATACAAACATAATTTTTTGTTGTTGAAAGGTTGGTTGAGTTATCCCATTCATGTGTTGGTTCCTCTAGCTTTGACTCTGCCTCACTCTGCTTTGCACCCAAATCAACACCGTCCAACTTCCTCTTAGCCAAATTACACTTTACACACAGCGCAGCCAGCACACACTCGATCCTGAGCTGACAGCCGAGATGTAAAACAGCCTCACCTGGCTGAGATCAACAGCTCCACTGGCACCAGCCAATTTTGAATGACGAGGAGCCCCAATGACAACCAATGGATTTGCATGCATGAGTCTTGCTTGTTCATCCTATCATCAACTGGAGCATAAACTGAAGTCTGCACCAAGGTGCCAGGTGACGAAAGAATGGTCTGAGTCGTCTCTGAAGTCGCGCTCCCAAACAGTGCTGAATGGCCTCCTCAGATTAATTCTTTTCTCTACTCTTTTTTGAATACTGTCATGGCATCTGCACCAAGCTTCAATTCCCACAAGGAGTCAGACATTCTGTCCACAGGAATCCATAAAAGAGCAATTCCAAACCTTTAGTAAGGGTTCAACCATTGCATTATGTATTGAGGTCATCGATCACCATCTCACCCCAAAGTTGATGACAAGAAATGCCATGAACACTCTTTCCTACTGTCCCATTCTGACACGTGTGGGTAGACTCCTAGTAAGAGCAATGAGGGAGTGAGCTCCTCATGCTTTACCGCTGGTTTAGAAGTCAGTTTCCTCTCTGATTTGCTTAGGTTTGGAGATCGATATTTCCTGTTCTTGGCAGGGTCACCTCCCAAGTGGACAAAAGCGTGAAAGATGGGCAATTTTATTTTACAGGCAGAACAAGATTACGTCGGATGTTGCCGTCAGCCTGACCATCACAGCTCTGATGGCAAAGAAAATTTATTAACTTTATTGAAGTAATTTTCTCTGCTCAGAAAGATTTAATAAACCACTGAGTAAAACTGACACTCTAAAAAATGGCTTAATAAAAGCGAACTTCCTTCTCGTTTATTGGTTTGCTAAAATGGCAAATTAAAATGGAACAGACTCGATGGAAACAATATTTTGGCTCACCACTCCAGCTGCCTCCAAAGAGTTCAAGCACGAAAGACAAAGTGTGTTGTATGAGCACCTTTTACTGTAAAAATTGAGCATATTATCACATCAAGGCTTACCCAACTATTTCAGGAGTGAAATGCAGTTGGAAAAAACCACAGATATGATTAGTTTTCATGTCTGTTCACGCCTTTGCTTCACCAGGACTCAATTACTCATTCATGACACATCTTTCCCATGAATGATCTTTCACAGAGAAGCTACCGCAGTGCTCAAGTCAACCGTACGAGGTGAACAGATGAGAATACAGATAACTGTAAAGGGCTTTGTTAAGGGGAAAGGCAAGCCTACTATCAAACGCAGAACTTCAGCATATTATGCAGCCGCTTGATTTCCTATACTACCACTAAAAACCTGTCTCGATTCAAGAACTGAGAAACCTTCCCTTAGTACAAGCCTCAATGATAGACTTTGAAGAATAACTTTAGGCTGAAGCCCTCTTTGTTATCCAGAGAAGTCCTGCTGTCAGATGTGTATGTGTGGGTGGAGTGATAACAGGGCTGAAATCAGCTTAGCTGCCACCAGCTGTTGGAAAGACAGCCATTGCTGAAAACTCAAACATAACTAATGGTCACTGGGCCATTATTGACCTGAAGTGGACGGACCTCACCGGCACCAAACTTCAGTGGAAAAAAATGGATCGGGAACATTCGGAAAAGAGAAAGGAAGAACGTTGTTTGAAAAAAAACCACACTGAATAGGAAGTAAAATCCTGCTTGCTGGTAGTGAAATTCACAGATTAATAACCGAAGACGTTTTGTAAACATTTTCTCAAGTTTGGGAATCAAAACCACTGAATAAATGTACTTAAACCTGAAATATATTAAAAATAATAAGCCACAGATTGATATCAAGCCACAGAATCCGTGAGGACAGCGCTCAGTACAATGTCAAGCATTTCAATTATAAAAGAAGCATTCATTCGCAAGGGTTGGGCTTTGTTAATTGTTCAAAATTTGGATGATGGTCCAGAGTCATTTGGCTTAACATTTTGTGATGAACAATATTGTAGCCAAGTGCAGGCTTGGAAAGCAGGCCAAGAGAGTGCTGCTTGCAATCTGTCTTCAGCTGTGCCAGTACGGGCTGCAATTACAATGCAGGGAAACATGCTGAGCAGTTTCAAGATGGGAGTTATATCATTGTGAGTTCCATTTCAACTCCGGCTCCCTGGAATTGTGCGCAGCATCAGACCCCTCATCAGATTAATCGTGTAATGATGTATGGATAAACTCAACAGGACAAAAATAGCATTAAAAATAATTTATTTATTCGTGAGCCAGCACAAGACTTGATTTGTGTTGTGCTGGCTCATGTCAGCTGGGTTACACAATTGCCTTTCATGACTCCTGAGGTAGAAGGGGATCGGGGAAGGGAAGGGAAGAAAGGTAGAGGTGTGCTCTTGATTGATATTCAGAGGTATGTTGCAACCACACAGACAGACTTGTGCTTTAACCAGAGAATCACACACACACACACACACGAGAAACAATTAAGATTCACCTCCAGTGGACACAACTCAGTCAACAGAACTTGTCAACATAAGCACATTACCTTTCACTGGCTCTGTGCGCTTCGGTAAATCCAAGGTGTCAAAGTTCTTGTTGGTATCTGCATTCTTTTTACCTGTATATGATAGAAGTCCGTTAAGGAACAGCAGAGGAGCTGCCTCGCTTGAGGAAGCAGTGATGCGTTTACTAAAACAACAAGTTGCAGCACAACGGTTTACAACTCACACCAAACATGCTTTCTTTCCTGCTCTATTAGAATGCCAATCCTCAACTTAACTCTCAAAGGAATCGGCAGGCTATTTTGAGACTACTTTGAAACCTCTCTCAATTATTTCTACAACAACAGTCCAGCATCACACGAGGACAAACACGAGAGGAACAGTAGAAAAAAGGTTGAAGACAAACTTGGGAGCCTTACCTTGGTTAAACCACTCCTCTAATGAGAAGAGCAGAAAAATGCAGAGAAGAAAGGATCAGTGAAAGCAGACATGAAAAAGCTGGGCAACAGCAACATCTGATAATAATAATAATCCGTGCATTTGATATAGCGTCTTATCACGTCTTCAAGGCGCTTCAAAACGCTTCACAGAATATCCTGTGAACTGACTTGACTATTTTGTGGGTGAGACGCAGCAGCCAAATGTGCACAGCAGTGTTCCTCAAACATTATTTGAATTATTTTTGAAGGGATTATTAATTACCCCCAGAATAGCAATGCACCAATCAACTATCAACCGGATTCCTTCTTACTGCTACGTAAACATAGGCGTGTGGAGTTAGGAAACTTGCCTGAGGTTTCGCCCCTCCCGGGAATCGCACCCGGGTCCTCTCGCTTGTGAGGCGAGAGCTCTAACCACTACACTACAGGACTCCAAAAATAGAATTCTAGTGTCTTTTTCCGCACACCCACCTCTCACACACCCCAAGTGCAAGAGGATTTCAAGTTCTAGTACTTCTAGGAGGGGAATGCAAGAGTTAAAAGTTTTAGATATCCAGAAAGGATTAGTGTCCTTGCACAACACTACATAACTTCTTGGCAATCAATGTAATCGAAAATATCTATTAAATACATATTGACTACAATCCAATCACTTCCAACAGTATCACTGCACCACACACACGCTGGACTGCGATTGAGATTCCACACACACTGTAAGACACTCACCTTTCGCCTTCTTCCCACCAAAACAGCCTGAATCATCTTTCTTCTTCTTCTGCACGCCTCCCACTCCAACTTGTTGGTCACTTGGTGGCTCTCTGAATTTTTCGGCCCCTGGCACTTCTCGATGCACTTGGTAGGACAGATTCCGCATGATACACACGCAGTTTTCCACCGACTGTCAGACAATGAAAATAAAACTCCTTTTACATTGCTCGAGGAGATATGGATTCATAACACATGGAGCTGCAAGAAGTCATCAGTATAGTGAGATGAAATTTTCCATTTGTGCCTGTTCAACCTTGGGACATCCTCCTGACGTGAAAGGCGCTATACAAATGCAATTTTGCTGCTGTTGGAGCTATGGCTGTTAAATTACACGGAATATAAACTATGGCTGGAGATTTATTTGAATTAAATAAAGATAGAATTGAATTAGACAGAAAAAATAAGATTTAAATAGATTTTTGAGAGTGTGCACAGAGTGAGGAAGATGGTAGAAATCATTTGCAAAGTGGTTTAAGTCAAAATGTCATGAAGCAAAGAAGCAGATCACACAAGAACTGAGTGAACAGATATTTACTGATCCTGGTTCAGGGAACTAATTGACTGCTTGGTACAGTATAGATCAGAAAGGTTGAGATGTGATCAAGTCATACTAAGCCATGGTACAAATGGAATGGGTGGGTGTTCAGTACAGCAGTGCTACTCATTGCTGAAACTAAGAAGGTTACAATCATAGAATCTTACAGCACAGGAAGAGGCCATTTGAAAGCTACAATCGAATCTGATTCCACCACCCTTTCAGGCAGTATATTCCAGAGTGTAACAACTCTCTGTGTAAAACAAATTCTCTTCATCTCCCCTCCGGTTCTTTTGCCAATTATCTTAAATCTGTGTCCTTTGATTACCGACCCACCTGCCAGAGATAACAGTTTATCCCCATTTACTCGATCAAAAGGTTAAACCAGAGATTGTTTCCACAGTTAATGACCCAGAGTTAGTGACCTCTCCTAGAAAGTGTACTTTTTACTGGTGTAGATCAGAAGCTGCAATGCAAATCCCCTCCTATGACTTCATAGCTTGATTATTTTCACCGACTGGGAAATGAAGAATTGCCAATTGGTGTCGGGTGCTGGAAGGCTGATAAGCTTGCAGCCTCCGTGAGGGGGAGAGAAAGAGAGAGAATGAAAAGGGCTGAAAAGCAATCATTGTCTTACAGCAAATGGTTATGCCTAATACCAGTTTCATAGGCGCAGGATTTTTATATACATTAAATATCAGCAGTTTCTCATTCCAGAGCCAACCCACGACTCCCATCTCTTCCCAGTCACCATGCCAATAGCAGGATGTGTTTGACAATGATTTGTAAGTGAATCCCGATGTGTCTCCCATTGGAACACCACTCGGGCGAGTTGTCCATTTTGGTATCAACTTCCACAAGGAAGCTGCTGAACCACAGCTCAGCCAGAATTTGCAACTCACAAATACTTCTGTAAAATTTCACAAGTTCGACCTCCTTGTGCTGGACGGTAAAAGTTTATCCAATAAAAATCAGTGTTTGGCTGAACATGCAACTAACTGCCTTTACAGTAAGCAGCCACTGGAGTTAAACAAGAACCACCTCCCGGTAACAGGAGCAGAAAGTAGCACAGCAACCAGTGACTGCAGCCGAGCTGTTTGGCAGCTTGGAGAGTTCTTCAAAAGGCACAGCTGCTGAACCGCTGTGGGGCTCAGCTTGCAGGCTTTCCTGGCGGGAACCTGAAACTCCAAACGGCCAATTGCATTCTGTGGTCCCTTCAAACCCAGCATCCTTGCCAATCCTGGACTGTCAACCCGATTCAATGTCCAATTCACAAGTGCACATGATGCACACACTGCACCTGGTACAGGTTCAGACAGATGGGAATTCTACAGTATCCAAACTAGCTTGTATTGACCATTTGACTATTTAGCATAATGACGGTTGAATTTTTCATGGAACTAAAGATAGCTAATTGATTTTGCACAGCTGTGTTCATTCCTGCGTAAAAAAGAATACATGCAAACCAAAAGAAATGGTTTAGGTTACTGGTGGCTTGGAAACAGCTCCAGAGGTGAAGTATTGCCGTTCAAAGGCAATCATATGGTCAAATGACATTTACACAGCACTTTTCACGTTGGGAGGACGTCCCAAGGCGCTGAACAGTCAGGGATTTGGACCCGCTGGGAATTGGGATCAGGAGGGTTGGAGGGCAGGAAGGGTAGGGTGGCTAAAGAAGATGGTCTTGACACGGGCCTTGAAGAAGGCAAGGAAGGTGGCAAGGTGAAGGCAATGTGGGATGAAGTTCCAAAGGGTGGAGGCAGGAGCTGAAGGCCGAACCGCTGATGGTGAAGCGGGCAGGGGACGTGGAGCAGGCCAGAGTCTTCTGCACAGGGAATTGACTGTATACTTTGTGGATAAAACACAGCAGCCAATTGCGCACGGGAGTGTCCCACAAGCAGTCGTGGATTGAGTGAACAAATTACTTAATTTTTTTTAATTTGAAGAGATAGTTCCCCTGGAAAGCAATCTGCCAATTGACTAACAACCGAGTTCCTACTTACTGCTAGGTAAAGAGAGGCGTGTGGAGTAAGGAAGTTTGCCTTAGGTCTTGCCCCGCCCAGGAATCAAACCCGGGGTCCTCTCACTTTCGAGGAGAGTGTGCTAACCACTACGCTACAGGACTCCAAAAAATACAACGAAAGTGAGGGGCGAGGAGCTTAGAAGGCAATGGGGAAAGCGGGGAAAAAAAGCACCATCAATTATATACTTGTCTAGGGAGGCACCCGCTTTCCAATAGCACCAGAAAATATTTAGCATGAAGTGCTTCAACAAGGCAATTTCTCTCTTTAATAATGCAGCATGGCAATAGGCCCATTTCACAAGACTTAATAAATTATGACTCACAGCAACCCACACAGTTGCACGCTGTTCACTAAGCTCACAGCAAAATGATTAGATTCCACAAAAAAAGCATATATATATATATAAACAAACATTTAAAAAGAGAAACCGCACAATCAAAGCGGGATTTAATAACTGGTTGATTGTTTGATGAATTGTGCATTAAACGTCGTGTGAAAGCCACTTCATCTGATACGTCAATCTACTTCAGCTCTCTTCTACTTCAATGGTGCCTTTAATTTCGTCTCTGCAATAACCCTGACCACAGTTCTTTTATTGCCTCATCTTTTCTCCCAATGGACTCTTTCCTGTTGCTTTTATTTCACTGCGATGCTTCTCTCTATGCTCTCAGATTCTCCAACTCGATTCTCTCCCATTTCCCAGATGCTCGCTCTCAGGCAATAACTCACTCAATCTTTCACAAACCTCTGCAGCTCTCTGCAATCTCAGTCCTGCTCTGCTCCTCTCTTTCTCTATCTTGTGTCAAATTATTTTTCATCCGAACCTCCGCCTTTTAATTCCTTACACATCATAACTAACTCCCGAAAACAAAAGGAAAAATCAGGTAAAGTTCACACTAGTTTCTCTGATTTTTACACCAAGTGTAGCTAAATTCCCACTGAATTGGGAAATCACCATTTTAATAATGAGAGAAGTAAAATCTAATCTTTTCTAACTTTCTGCAAATTTGTAAGCTTCAGAAAATTGGAAGGAAGTCTACCAAAAAGCAAGCAAAAGGTTAAAGGCACGACAAGATAACTTAGTCGCAGCACCATGTAATCTGTCTAAAATGTCATTTAGACAAAAGCTAAATGTGAAATTCAATTCTCAAAAGATAAGTACCACTTGTCATGGTTATTTTAATTCAATTTACTTTAAATATTTCCTGTGCTGAGAATGTGCAGAAAGCTGTTACTGTTGAGATTGAGAACCCATGCTTCTTAGAAATGTAACTGAGAGAGATGCAGTCTATTTGAATATGTACAAGCACAAGGAGAGATGGACTACCTTTCTGTCCATGTCTTTCTTGCCCACTGCTGACTGCAGTGCATGGAGGAGAGCATCCACCAAACCCTCACATTCCCGGAGCCTTCTGCGAGCTTCACTTCCATCTGAACTCACGTTCCTGCCAACAAAGGATAGACCAACACATTAAAATTAAAAAGAACAAAACAATTATCATAGAATTATAGAATTACACAGCACAGAAGGAGGCCATTCAGTCCATCCTGTCTGTACCGGCTCTTTGAAAAGAGCTGTCCAAATCAATCCCACTCAACCACTCTCTCCCCATAGCCCTGAAATATTGTCCTCACCAAATAATTATCATTATGCATGGACTGAAATTTTTAGGCCCACATCAATCCTCACGATTAAACATTTTTAAATGGTATGAGCAAGCCACCCAAACTCATTCATTAAAAGTCCATCTACTTTCATTTAGATTTCTGGAATAGTTCACAAGATTAGATTTTCTGTGATATATACACATTTTAATTTAGGAATTTTAGAAGAGCCCTAAATAGGAAGGGAGCGTTAGGATAATTCATACATGTATAATTGTATGGAACAACAAAAACATTACATTTACATAGCACCTTTCACGTTGAGAGTACATCCCAAGAGACTGGACGGTCAAGGATTTGGACCCAAGTTGGCTGTTGGAGATCAGGAGGTGTGGAGTGAAGGTAAGGTAGGGGTAGGAGGGTGACCAAAGGCACGGGAGAAGAAGAGGGTCTTGAGGCTAGCCTTGCACAAGGCAATGGAGGGGGTGAAATGAAGAAATTATTTTCTTTTGATTCTTCATGGTTTTGGTAGCCCAACCAAAACCAAACAAGGTAAAGTTCACCTTGCTTTAAATTGCACACAAAAGCCTGGCACAGGCTGCTGTGCATTCACTGCTGGAGGCTGGGTACAGGAACATGCCACAATCAAGGGAAAATGCAGAGAAAAATAAAATCTCACACAACAGCTTCTTACATGATCACTTCCAGCAGCTGGAAGGATGATGAAAGTGTTGATTCGACAGGAAACACTAACTTATTTTCCTCTTTTAATGACCTGTCACTCTTAGCCATCGCTAACAGACATCTGAACATTCAGAAAGAGACAACCAAACTGTACCTACTGACAAATTGGTTTGTTACTAATGAATTATTTCATATAAATTCTGTTGATGTCAATAACGACAGATATAAATCAAACCCGTCAGAATTCCTCAGAGCACAATCTCTGACAAAGAAATGCCATTTCACAGGCTATTTTCTCAGATTCAACTGCCTAATTCCATATTAGTTCGCTCCCCCCTCCCCCCAAAAGCCAAACCTCGACAAGACATCTCAGTGATTATCTGAGAAAACTGAAGTTTACAATGGTATTTACAATAATAATAATCATCGTGGCATTTGATATTGTGCCTTATCACATCTTCGAGACGTCTCAAAGTGCTTCACAGAATATACTATGAAGTGAATTGAGTATATTCGGTGGGCGAAACACGGCAGCCAATTTCATATGGCAGTGTCCCACAAACAGTCATGGATCGAGTGACCAAATTAGTATTTGTTTCCTTTTTATTATTATTATGATACTGCTAAAGGATTCCAAGAGGCATTGGGGGTTAGGCTCACTGGGATTATGAGGCATTTTAACATTCAACTTCAACAGTGCCCAAGTTAGGAGAACAGCTGCCTTGATTTCCCATCTGACCAGTTACTGATGCCAGATGGAGCAGCGTAACACAGACTGAGATCTGGGAACAGGTCACTGAACCCTCCCCCTGTGCGTGGGCAACCAGGACCAGAGTAAGTGTGAGATCCCAACAACAATAAACTTAAAACATTCCTGAAAAAACAAGAGCAATGCCATTTCCTTGCAAAAATTTCATTTCCTCTTCAACTATATATCGGTGGCTGTGCCTTCAGCCTCATTGCCCAGAAACTCTGTAACCCTCTCCCTCAATCCTCCACTTTCCGACTTGTCCCCTTCGCCACTTTCAAGTCCCGCCTAAAGACCTTCCTTTTTTGATCGTGCTTATAGTCACCTCCCCACTCCCTCTCCTTCTGGCTTGGAGTTGGACTCTGCGCTGTGAAGCACGCCGGGACGCCAGTCAGCCTGAAGGGCGCTATATAAATGTAGGTTGTTGTACACACTCAAGACTCCTGTGCAATTCATGAATGCAAATGTGTACTCACTCCCAAAAGTCAGGAAACAAACTGTTCGCTCACGGCAAAGCAAATTGAAGCAGCAAGTTTCTCCCAAGCAGCCAGGCTCCAGGCCAAACAGCTGTCACATTTCTATGAGATTCACAAGAATGCACCCACAGTCGCAGTACAGTAGTTTGTTTGAAAAGAGGCTCCATTGTACAATGTGCCAAGAAGATTACCGTTTGGCAAGCAGATTTTTAATTAACGGGCGTTCTGGTGTTCCACATTAATCTTATAGAAACCCAAATAAAACTCTGGTTAAGGATATTTAACTCTAGAAAGGAGATTTACCAGAAAGGGCTCTTTATGTTGTAGGATTCAATGATCCTGTAAAACCAAAACAGGCAATGTGTCCAGTTGCTGGGTTTGATGGGCATCCTGGCACAAGACCCTGGGTGGTAATGACCTGAGCAAGACCTCACACAAGATAGCCTGGGGTGTGTTGGTTTGGGAGGTACCTATTGGTAATTGCTGGAGTGGTCAATATTTGACCAACTGTCACCAGTTTGAGTAGTGAATTGAGATGAAACGCTAGGGGAAGGAAAGCAGTACTTTTGGTTTAAAAATCCCTGAGAATTAAAAACACATGAAGTACAAGCCATCTGCAGCCTGTCACTTGGAGACAGCTGGGGTGACCACAATCCCAACATAAAATTCAGTCAAGTATGCAGCAATTAGAAAGCAAGATGACAATTCTGAAAGCACTGTGGAGTCTGTCATTACTGGAGAATGGCATTTCAGTCTATAGTATTACAGGGCTTCGTACAAGCCTGTTTCTTGGTTTGCTACAGTTTTGAAATTGGGACCAAACCCTGGCCTTGATCTAACTTCCAGTTTAAGCCAAGTGAGCAGTTATGAACTAGGGTTCCAGTCAGGGTTCTACGATCAACCTCAAAGGCTTGGGTTAGCCCACTTCTGACTGCGGTTTAGCAGCTCTTGCTAAGGCACACTGTAAAACCACACCTTTTTCACCAGGATTCAGACTTCAAATGCTTGGATCACCCAACCAATGCAATGCCGTAATTACACACTACACCATGTGGAAATAAGATGGGAAGGAGGAGATTTGAATGAGGCTGCAGAATAATTTAATGGACTGTCGCTATATCAAATCTATTTGTATTGTGTGTAGAAATATCTTGATCTATGGATATCTTAACACAACATTTTGGTGGTATTTCAGCTAAGAGTTAAAATCTGGATTCAACTTGTAGTTTGAGTAAATCTACAACCTTGCTGGTACATCATCAACATTTCTATGGACAACCACATCTACACGAGTCAAATAAACAGATGAAATGCACATCTTTCTGCTTTGCAGGCAGAGATCCCACTCACCAAGTTCAAACACGTTTGATAAGGCGCTAGACAAATGTACGATCTTCTCGCAAAATAATCGGTGGGCAAAACTTTAAACAAGTTTACATTATGGATAAAAATCATAGTTTGCAAAGTAAGCTCAACACAAGAAGAATTAGAATTAGGACCCATCTTCTTGGATAAATTAGCATTTTGATTAATTTTGTCAGCACTCATAGAATTAGCTTTTTATCAAGTGTGAAACTTTACTGATAGCACTGTTTATCAGCTGTTGCCAGATAGCTGCAGTGCTGTGAGCCCGATTAAGATAATTGCGTTCTTCAGACAAACTTTCATGGTTTACTAAATCCATCGTTTCAACAATAAACCTCAGACATCAGAAGTACATTCTCAACAAGCAGCGAAATTTCACCATCTAAGCCGCCCCCATTTTACGTTTATACCCAGGGAGCCATCTCCTGATTTCACTATTGCCTTTTAAAGCTTGCAAAACTGTTGATTTACTGTCTCCCCAAACCCACTGCGCCCAGCAGGGTGGTGGGAAATCTATGATCCGTTTGAATGGCTTATTTCTGTTGAGGCTATGATGTGGTGAGCTTTGCCTCCTGGTCGGTCATGCAGTGGAGCTTGGAATATTTGACCGCAATTTCTGTCAGGAGCCAGCTGATGGGTCAAAGTCAGTTGTGTAAAGGTGAGGAAATTGGGAGTATTTTAAGGTTCGTCGCATTCACCATGTTATATACAGCAATAATGAATCTTGGCAGTGGGTTATATTACAATTTTTTAAAAAAAAGATCACAAAATATACAAGCTATCTTCTTCCTTCTAGTTTACTCCCTGAACATGAGGGCAGGCAAGTCTGCTCGCAACAGTGTACAAGGTAAATTCTGGGCATATTGTCCTTCAGCTTTCCCTTCCTATACAAATTGCCTGGGAGGCCTTTTTACTTGGTCACAAACAAGTTTACCCGTAGGGAACTGCATTTGTAAATCTCCATCCTACCACCGGGAGCTCAAAAATACACGGTCAACAGCAATTAGCCCTCAAAACAAAGATAGACAGAGATCACAGTTGACTTGGCTCAGAGATTAAAGTAGTATTAATCCGTCATTAAAGTAGCCGTGGGTAGTGATAACAATCTAACAAAAACTGTTAAAATAAAGTTATGGTAAAAAAGTAGTGAATGTCAGAGAAGTAAGCAAAGAAAAGGAGGACTGATTGGGTTTGACAGCCGAGCTTGGAGTCTTGTTCCATGTGATTGAATACTGGAAATGTTCTAGGCTATACAAGGCAAAGCCTCTGACCTTGTGTGTGCAGTAAACCATATAAGGATATTTCAGGACTACTTTGTGGTGCCAGTGACCTGGAGGTTTTGAAGTAGTCATTTGGTTTGAAGCCTTGTGATACAGGTACAGTGCTTTGTTCCCTTTCCAAATTGAACAAATATTTATTGCAATGAAAAACACAAGTAAAGTGCATGGAAACCATACATAAATTATGTTTATGCTATTTACATCTGCCATCCACAGCTTCATTCAAAAACAGCTCTGAAGAGATTTGCAAAAGCTTTAAACAATAAAATGCTCCACTCTGGAAATTAAACAGTTTGAAAACTCTTATTTAGAGGTCGACCATATGCTACCTGCTTATAAAATACTATGGTTATATCCATGCTACCCTGCAGCATTTCTGATCCTTTAGAAATAAACAGTAAATGTTTTTAATACATTCACTTGAGGGATCTCGTATACCAAATGTATACCACACTAATCTCCTTTCACTTTAATTCTTGGTGTTCGCAAACAACCTTCTTTTGTAATACTGATTACAAAAAGACCAGCTCGGGTCCGAAATGCTGTACTCTGTCCAGCGCCTTTGGACATCCTCCCGATGTGAAAGGCGCGATCCAAATGTAATCTTGTTGTTATTGATTGCATTTCCTTCCTTTCTCTTCTCAAGTCTCTCTGTCCCACATGCTGCCTCCTAGTCAAACCAACAACAGGTGATCTACTCTCCAGCCTCTGCTAATGATTATCTCAATTAGAAAACACAATCGATCCAGAGCTGCAAATCCTTAGGTCAGTGGTAGCCAACCTTTATGGACGGCCAACAAAACAAATTTTCGGGATTGATTTATGGCATAAAGCAAGAAGTATTCAATCACGAAAAAAAACTGAACACACACTACCGATCGAACATGAACTTACCTAGGCTTTGTGCAAATGTTTGGGAGGGTGGCTGCTTCTTGACAGTCACATGGGTCGCAGGTTGGCCGCCACTGCATTAGGAGAACAACTTGGCCTCTACTCTCTACTTGTGTCTCTACCCAATCTCACTGTGAAGATCAATACTTCACCATAAAGAGAATGACACTGGAGTACCTATCAATAGGTACCCACCGTGGTTTAATTTAGCATCTACCTGCAATGAATATTCAACCCAGTAGACAACAAATGACTACCAGGTCTAAAGTTTCCTTCCAGGTCATGTGAAATACTGTGACTAACATCAGCCTGCAAGCCTCCAAAATCACATCAGCAAGATGAGTACCTGATGGTAATTTTCTTAAGAAATGAGGTGCGATAATGGGACTGCAAATTCACTTGTACATTCCAATCACATCCTTGCACATTGATATTCAAACGCTCCACAGACTGGGTTGTCTTGAATGATTCAAAATTTTTGTTTCCCAAGAGCCTGCACCTAACCTCACAAACACAATCTTCATTACTTTTAATTGACAAAACTGGATGAAGGAGAACAAAACAAAAAACAGGGAGTCACAGCAATGAAACAGTTGATTCTCTGGGGGGGAAAGAAATGCATAACAAGAAAGACAAATAATTTTTTCAACACTGCAATCTTTTTTTTCAAATTGTTCCAAGCATTTGCTGTGGACACAGAACTTCAAGAATGACACGGTTCAATGTCTGCTTACAAGAATTCCACCCTGAGATCAAACAACCTGTAGCAATGACTTTGAATTGTGCTGTGTCTAAGAGATAACCTTTTTTTTTGCACAGCAGTGCATCAGATTCCTGCAATACCTTTCAGCAATTACAAGCCTGAAGATGAGCACGGGAAAAGGTTGCTTTGCAATAAAGTGTGCTTGAAATCCCTGACTGTCCGGCACCTTGGAATGTTCTCCCGACATGAAAGGCGCTTTACAAGTGTAATTTTTTTATTGTCGTTGATGAACCCCGTTTTTACCTGAAATGCCTCCATGGCCGCCCCATCACCCCACCTACCTGAGGCAGCCAGACGTGTTCTTAAAGACAGTTGTCCACTCGGCGTCGCGCGGCTTAGAATCCTCATTGGGCTCAGTCTCCCAGCCAGAATGGGGGATGATGACCTCGCTTGTGAGCGTCTGCAGTCCATGATTAATGATCACTATTTTGAGGGGTTCGTAGGAAGACAGGTTCCACAGGGTTCCTGCACAAAAATAAACAGATTAAATACTAATGCAACAATGGCGTGCTGTTTCGAAGTCTTCATTGCATTCTGCAATCATTAGCCCTGCACTGTGAATTTGTTTCTTAAATCAAGAATTTGCATTCTTGAGTATATTTAACCCACAAACACACACAGTATATCCTGTGAAGCGCTTTGCCCCGTCTCAATGAAGTGCTAAGGCGCTATATGAATGCGAGGATTATTATATGAAATTAATCTCCCACCCGACAATGCATCAGCGATGCAATGCAAAGGAATTTAAGAACATTTTAATTAGGTTTTGGGGCTTGAGAATGTGCTTTTTATATGGACTTTTAACCAATCTTTAATATGAATCTATAAAAAACATCTGCCTCAATTTTTGCAGTGCTCAGCACCACGCTCCTTCCACTGTGCAGTTGCTACTAAACTGCCTCCTGCTTTCGCAAAGCTTTCTGCACAAGCTGTGATGCACACACGGTGTGACTAACTACCTGTCTGAAGGTACAGATAGTCTATATTAAAATAGATGATCCTTACAATTTTGAAATTCAAAGATTTTAACTCTATTTAAATCCATTCGATAAGAGGGTAAATTACTCTCAATTTATCTTCAAGTAGATTTCAAATACTCAACTGCTTTTTTTAAAAAAATAAAAAAAGCTGCATTTACTTCAGCCTTGAACCTTGATTTAATTTAGCCATTAGGAGTTTGTATATCGAACGTATATTATGCTCCATCCTTCAAACTTAGAAAAGTAGAGGCAACATGGCCAGATTAATTCTGAAATGGGAAATAATCAATAATCAGCCCTTTCGGGCAAGTAATGATGAAGCAGAAAGCATTAAATAGGTCCTTGAACAATGACACTTTCCTCAACCTCAAAGATATTCAGAGAGCCTGTCACAACACCCGAGCAGCACTTTACTTTTCATTTTAAGACCTGACATTTGTAATCCGGGGCATTCAACAACAACTTGCATTGATATAGCACCTTCGCACCGGGCAGCGTCCCAAAGCGCTTAACAGTGGTGGAGCCTGACACCGAGCCGGGGGGAGGGAGGAGTAATCGTAAGCATGGTCGAAGAGGAAGGTGTTCAGTCGTGATCTAAGAGGAGAAGGAGGGGGCAAGGCGGAAGGATTGAGGGAGTGTTTCCAAGCTTCGGAGCGCAGTTGCTGAAAGAGCAGCCGCCGATGGTGGAGCGGAGGGGACGAGGGACAAGCAGGAGGCTGGAGCCTCCCGAGCGGAGGCAGCGGGTAGTGGAGTAATCAGAAACTGACCCAGAAGGTTGTGAATAGATCAGATTTATTCTTCTACTCCACCCCAAATTTATTTTAACACAATGAAAAACATTTTGGAAATTTCCATTTGTTATGAAATTCCAACAATTTCAGCTCCAGGATTCAATTCCGAGAGATTGATATCAATTTTTAACCACTTCTTTCCTTTCATTTAGCTTTTAACAATCTCTTCTGGCTGTTCCGCTTTTCAGATCTTATGCTCCTCATTTTTATTCATCTTTTGTCTGGTTCCCGCTTTCTCGGTCTCCTTTCATCCTTCTCTCCTCTACACTGACTGGTTTCAGAAACATTACCTCATTAAAGTTTTCGCCTGTTAATGGATGGGTTTTAACTTGTTCATTAATCTCCTCTGGAAATTCCCAGATTTGCTAGAGTGGCAAAAAAGAAAGAGGACAGAGCAGAGGTCAGATGCCTCTTTGCTCTTATAAAACAAGAAAAAAAAACGGCGTTTTTATAGCAACTTCTTAAGTTGAACTACATTAAAACAATCTACAGGTAATAACTGGCAAATGGAGCAGCTATTTTCAAATGTAAAAACCCCCCGAGAGGCCTTTGGTCCAGGAATGTGTCTCAAAAACACTCTGTTTAATAAGGATATTAAAAAATCCTTCTGTTTGATAAATATAAAGATAAATAGCATTTTAAACTAGAAAGGTTATTATAGTTAGAAGCATTCCTGCCAGTTATAAGTTTACTTCAGTTGGCACACATGCGTGGTCATAGCCGGTGGCAGCAACAATAAAGCAACACCTCACTTAACTGGGTGTCAATAACTTGACAGTCTTACACTACAGCTATACTTAACTTTATGGCTTGTGTCCCACTACTACTGTGGGAACTTCAACGCACCTCAATTATCCTGACTCACTGAAACCTAGTGTACATTGTAGGTGTTCGGGACTCCTCCAAAACTCTCAAGAAGCCAAATGAATGTCTTTTGCTTGAAGAGCAAGCCATATTTTCTCTGTGCCAAGCAATCAGTGTGCTCTCATGTAGTTCTGCTCAGTATTTGCTCTGTCTACTCATCTGCTGGAGACCTTAAATCAAGAACCACCAAGGAATCGCTAACTGCAACAACAAAATTACATTTGTATAAGTAGGGAGGACCATTTCAAAATAAAGAGATCAGAACCTCATTGATCATGTCTTACTCCACCGTTCCCTAAAAAGACATCGCAGAAGCTCACCAGGGAGAAAACTATCTGAGTTTGATAAGGATTTAATGCATAATCTAACCAGTACCGACTCCCTTATCATGAATCAAATTCAAGCATTTTTTGCTTTCAAATTTTCTTTGCGATTAATCTTTACTTATACACATACGAGCTAACAAAAAATTTGTTATACATATGTTAACAGACAACTGCGGAGGAATCAAATTACATTAGCTATGATGAAAACCCTTTTCAAACAGTCATCTGATTCCTTTCGCAGCGCGTGCCAAAAAGTCAGAGTGAATCAGGGTTTCAGAGCTGACAATAAAAATCAATTTTTTTTCAGAAAAGCAAGCAGGAAAAAAATAAACCTTTTCCTTTAAAGTTAAAGCCAATGAACAAAGCTTTTGAATCCCGAACACCGTCCAGGGCCAGGATTTCAGTCTGTGCTGCAACAAAGACCACACCCAATGGAAAGATTTCATCTGCCTAAAATCCAGTGTTGCTAATATTTATAACTAGGTGTGCTAGAAACAAATAACTGGAACAAATGGATGTTTTAACGTGATGAATGGACCTATGAAGGCCACAATAAATCATAAAACAATGTTGTGACTTGTCTTTGCTAACTCAACGTTAACAATAGGGAGACTCTCCTGCTTGGCTCTTGGCAGCACCACCTCACTTCAGGCAAGCTCACCCCAAGCCTGCGAGCCTGTCTGACACCACAATAAATCTCCACCACAAGTGTAAAAGATTCTCGTATTTACCTGCAAATGCCTCCGTGGCCTTACCGTACTCACCTCCAAACAGCTTTTTAAACCAGTCTGAAGACCAACCTCTGACCATGCCTTCGACCACCCCCCTCCTATCCCTCATGTCCCCAATCCAGTTCAGACTCACTATTGTAGAATGCTTAGGAGCCATTCTGATAATAATCCTTGCGTTTGATATAGCTCTTTATCACGTCTTCAAGACGTCTCAAAGCACTTTACAGAATACACTATAAAGTGAATTGACTGATTATTTTGTGGGCGAAACGCAGCAACCAATTGCACATAGCAGTGTCCCACAAATAGTTTTGGACTGAGTGACCAAATTATTATAATATTTTCTCCTATGTGAAAGGACCTATGCAAGTGTAATTTATTGTTCCAGTTGTTGACTATTGTATGCAAATTGTATGTACATTGGCGAGAGGAATAAAGGACTTTGCTTCAGTCTCTTATCATCGAAGGCTGAACAAATTTCTTTTTACATAAAAGGAACTAGTTGAAAAATAAGAGTAAAAATAGCAGAATATTCGCTCACAATCATGTTTAATAAGAACATGAGATGTAAGCCATGGATTCTGCACAAACAGATGCACCAATTCCAAGCTAATACAAATTGGCTGAGGATTAGTGGAACAAATGTTAAATTCCGGCAGCAGAAAATCTATTTTTAATCCTTAGGTTGGGCCATTGTGCAAAACTGAAGCTATGACCACTGCGTTTGCAGCTTAAATCTGGCATCACTCATCTCATCTGGATATATGCTGTATTAACAGTTTTTATTTTCACCTCAAATGCCCCAGTGTACAAAAAGACATACAGCTTTCATTCCATCTGTGATACATGATCTTTGTATACTCTGCCATTTATATTTCGTTTGCCCCTCCCCCACCGCCCATTACTGTCCAAAGCAGATTTGTGCAAAGGAAACAACAGATTCTGAAACATCCACATGCAGAGCCACCGAGTTTTACAATGTGAACAGTCTGTGTATCGTTACTTGAAATCATACATCTGCTTTCACTATGACAAGAGGGATCAGTCTAGTGTAGCAGGATTAAACGTGAAGCTAAGCTGCTTTAAATTTAGGAGCATACAGACTTTATAACCACTATTTTTTATTTGTGATCAAAAATGTTTTTTGCCTTTTATTCTGATAAGCTACTGTATGTAGGCAGCTACTGTGTGGACATTTTGGAAGGCAAAGTCCTAAATGATATCTTTGCAAATAGAATTAGCTTGATTTAGTTGGTAGCGCTCTCACCACCAAGTCAGCATTTTGTGGGTTCAAGTCCCACATTGGCTCAGTTCCCACTCAGTGGTCCTATTGGCCTTCTTCAATGCTGTCATTTCTGCAGTAATGAAGCAAAAACACTTGGGAAAGTTGTACACTTGGGAAAGTCTCATTGTGCTCCTGTTATGACTGATACAGCACCTTATCCAGCACTATTCATTCGGAACACTGCACCATTATAAGAGTTAGTGTCAGCCCTAAATGTTTGTGTACTTGCCTGTGATGAGCTCTCTAACTTCCATGTCATTTGTCTTCCTTAGCAATCTCACCAAGGCAGGGATACCATCACAATTCTTGATGGCCACTTTATTGTCATGATCTTTGCCATACGAGATGTTTCTGAGGGCACCACATGCTCGTCGATGGACATCTGGTTTGGGGTGATCGAGGAGTCCCACCAGAATAGGGATGCCCTTCAGGTGTCGGACCTCCTTTTTCAGTTTGTCGTTCTCATAGCACAGATGTTGTAGGTAGGCAGCGGCATTGGACTTCACTGGGTCAAGGTGATGACTGAGCATAGCGATAACTTCAGGCAGATCGGGGTCTCGCCACCTGGGATCTTTCCGCATGCTGTCGATGGACGGCGAGCGCCTCCCGAGCCGATCCAGGCTGGCCAGACTCCCTCCCTCTGGCCGAGCTAATGGCGCATTGTACACTCCAGCCAGGTACGGCATCCGATCCTCAATGATCTCCGCTTCAATGGGATCCTCATAACCTCTGAAAAAGGGAGATAAGGGATGGAAATTAAATCATAAGTTTTTTTTCTCTCTTCCTTTGCAGATAAAGTTAACCTCCAATTTGTAGTTTTCTTTAGTATTCAAATAAAACCTTTAGTCAAGGAAATAAGTGGACTTTATAAAGCAATGAGTAGTCAAGGCTTTCTGGGTTACAAGATGTATACTTTTTGCAAAATAACAGCAAAAGTATAACGATGTGGAAATGGCAACCACTTAATATGTGAAGATGGGTGTCTTTTGCACAAAGTACTGTTGAGGATTGTTTAGCTGCTTCTTCAAACTCTTGTGAAAATCTTGTAGCAATGTTCTAAATTAGATTTGCTTTTTGTGATCAAATTGGGTCTCATTGCTGGAGAACAAGGCTTTGTTTACTTGGAAGATCAAGTGAACTCTGCTGCATCAAACTCCAGCAGGTCGGGTATAAATCAATTGGTACCATTCCAGACATGTCCAACTCCTCCTAATAACACAGGCCTCTGAAGCAGCTCAGCAGCTGCAGAGGCAGAACGAAGTAAACAAACAAGAAATAGCAAGCAAAATGTGATAATCTTTTCCTGTAGCTTTGAGGGAGTAACCCAAACTCAAGGTTTCCTTCCCCTCAACATCTGATTGCAGCCATCACACACTGCTTCAAATTAACATTGCTTTGTACAATCCCGATGAACTGAGCCGAGTACATTCATTCTGTATCTTGCAAACTGAACATTAAACCTGGTGGGTTTAAATGTAATGTTGATCTGTCTAAGTTGTTATAGTATGCTGGTTGTGAGTATAAAATATACTGATACAATCGTTCATGCACAACGACTGGACAAGATTCAAGCACAACAATTATGAACTGGTTACGTTATCTACTATTGTATTGAACTGCTCACATTACATCCGTTGGGAATTATTACAACACTTTTATATTAATGGCATGTTTTAAGTGACACTACGCTTGGCTATTTACCAGATGACTGTACTTGACTGTATTACCATTGAGGAAGCTATGTGAAATCCATTTTAAACACATTACTTTGTCCAGGTTTATTCCTGAACCGTAGTCTTCGTAATCAAATCAGCAACTTAGAAAAAATAAAGGGAACATTTTAAACAGTCCATTCTAACAGGCCTGAATCGACTAAGGAAGCCAAGTGCTATGTTAAGATCACAAGAGATGTTTGGGTGAAGAAGATTTGACCCATTTGATCTCATCCTTCCAGAATCCACATCCTTCGTTATAGCATTGAGCCATTTCATCAAAGCCACACCAAATGCTTTTGAGTCAAGCTCCAACCTTCACATTCATTCGTCCTCCATTCATTCCCAACTTCCCAATGTCTAAACTACTGCTCTCTGGTACTTAAATCTTAACTCAATCCGCTTTATCATCTTGAGAGTTTAAGGGTATAAAGATTATGAAATAGCAAAATCCAACTGTCCTTGACTGGACATTCACACATGCAGATGAATATTAAAGATGTAGTTATCTTGGTAATTACATGCCATCTTGGAGATCATTCGGTCAGGCACTGGAGAGCAGAAATTAAAATGTGAAATATTACTATTTCATCTGTAAATGAGCTGCAACATGCAAATTACATTTGAAAAATGGACAAGATCTATTTAATAATAATCCTTGCATTTGATATGTGCCTTATCACATCTTTGAGCGTCTCAGAGCGCATAATACGAATACATGGTAACACCACACTATTAACTCAATGTAAAGTCAAGTCAATTCATTTATGGCATTTTTGCTAAATTAAAATGTATAATTGATTTTTAATGCCAACCTATTTAGTCTATGTTTTGATAAAACAGATTGACATGCTGTAATTAATAGAGTGAGTTAAATATTCCAAATTAGCACTCAACCCACCAATGACTGGCACAAAACATCTGCAGAGGAATAACATTGCAGTGAAAACAGATTCTTTTCTTTGCTACAATTACCTCCCAAACCTCCCAATCTGAATAGCTTTGTTTTACCTCCACAACAAACATGCACCATAGCTCTGTTCCCGATGCCATGGTTACAACCAATTTGGACTGCAATTAATCAAATGGTGCACTGACGTTAGAGATTAATAAATACTTGTATTTGATATAGTGCCTTATCACATCTTCGAGACGTCTCAAAGCGCTTCAGAGAATATACACAAAATATAGTCAATTTACTTTACAGTATATCAAACCAAAAAGTTGTGATAGACTTGTCGGAAACAAGTTTGAAGACAAAGGCTTCCTAAACGTTAGCACTGACAGATACCAGCCGTCTCATTCAATAGCCAAGTTCCTCAGTCATGTTCTCCATTGAACTTTCATCAAAGCTTTGGCAAACAAAATATAAATTTAAAGGAATAGTTCAAAATAATATTCATGTTAATTCATTCTACTTCCTTATCCTAAAAAAAATGAATTCACAAATCAATTGGTAACAAGAGTTGTCACAGCTGTTCTACTTCATACAGGACTAAAGAATGACAGAGGTGTGGAATTTTAAGTATTCTCTCCCCAATTCCTTACCATGTTCAGGACTGAACCAAAAAAACATTCTAACCTTTTGCTGATGGCCCAGTGGATTACTTTACCCTTTCCCTCTCACAAAAAAGACCTCCTAATGCAACATTTAAAGGTTACAAAAAGGTTACCTAACTTGTAAGGTGGCCATCTTCAAAACAAAGCATTCCTCACAGCGAAAGAATAAGCGTAACCTAACAAATCCCATTTGTTCAAGATAAATGCCATTGACATCCACTCGACCTTCTCAGGGCTACACTGACATGGCCAGCAATACTGCCCAGTTCTTTTCTTACAGGAGGTAGACCCACCACAAAATATTCTCCAAGTAAGTCTGGGGAAATGGTATGGAGGGTCTTACAATATGGAGGTATTGAGTATAAGCAAGAACATGTCAGCCTTAAAACTTCTTTGTAATGATCATTAACTGAGCTTTACACTGAGGAATCAGTCACTCGGCTTTACAGGCTTTGAACTGGATTTTCAAGGCTCCAAAGTATCCACTACACTGAGCAAAACCTCCATAGGTAGAAATCGCATCAATAGTCAGACTGTCTAACAACACTGCAGGAGCCAGATATTAAACCGGACCCAAAGCTGTGCAGATCTCCCTCCTGTGGAGATGAGATCAGATTGGTATTACTTGTATGTGAAGAAAACATCTCCGAAGCCCAGTTAGGGTCATCGGAAACGATGATTGATCCATTTTTATCTGTTCCAACACCACCACTTGGGATCTCTCTCCGGCGTCAGAAGAGAATTAATAAGCATCTTATTCCCACGCCTCTTCTCACCAAACTGTTGCAAGTCATACAAGTCGGTGGCAAAAGCTATGTTCTCAGTAGGCAGCCAGAAGAGTCAATGAGATGAAGAGTTAATGATGATGAGCATTAGGCAAAGCCTAATGCGTTACTTTAATTATCCTAGTCAACTGACAGCCATTTGTTTCCAAGTCGTATCCCACAACCACATTATTATAATGAGTAGTGACCAGCCAAAAGGCTCAAAGCCAGGCTCTACCGAGAAGGATGACAAATTGATGTTCAGCCCCACCTGATAAAACAGGACATCAGTGGGACCTCAATGGAGCTACTTTTTCAACAGGTGTCAAACCAATTCTTCCCTGGGTTTACTCCAGTTGTTTAGACATGATCCTAGATTTGAACTCAGGCGACAGGAAGTCAAAATTCCAAGTTACGATGTTCAAAATATAAGGACAAGAAGAATCTTATGGTGCCAGTGTGTGGGACAGCTGTTCAAATCAAAGCGTTCAGCTATTTTCTAAGGAATTGGAAGATCTATCAAGGGTTCAAGGCTAATAATTCTTTGACCCTTCCTGGAAGAAATACTAAATGGGTTCAAGTACAAAATTCAGCCATTTTTGAGTTTTAACAAATACAAACCAATAAATTGCCACAAAAGTAAAAACAATAAGAATTTATGGTAGTCAACAACCATTGTCTTTTGTTGGTTTTGTATAGGATAATTAACTGGCAAAGAAGAGGAAACCAATCTTTCTTTTCCTCTATTTTTCCTGTCGAGACTTCCTCTGCTTTGATGCCGTGTTGCTCAGAATTTTACTTTGAAGTGATGTGATTAACCAAATACTTTTATATGTATAGCAAGTATCCTGTAGCACTCAATCACTGCAGTATATGAAGAAATTTTAAGTAAAAGCTCATTATCCTAGCAAATGATCCCATAACTATGCTAAAAGCATGCTGCGTTATACAACAAATCTTTTGCTTAAAGAAACAAGGACAACTGCAATAGTTGAACACCAATAATAATAATAATCCTTGCATTTGATATAGCGCTTTTCACGTCGGGAGGACGTCCCAAAGCGCTTCACAGAACACACTGTAAAGTGAATTGACTGTATATTTGTGGGCGAACGCGGCAGCCAATTGCGCACAGCAATGTCCCACAAACAGTCGTGGATTGAAAATGACCAATTTATTATTGTTTTTGGTTTTGGAGGGATTATTATTAGGCACTGTGTGGAGTAAGGAAACTTGCCCAAGGTTTCGCCCTGCCTGGAATTATAAATTAGCCAGCAAGAGCCTTCTTACATGAATTTTCTTCAAGACATTAATGTTAGGTTGGAAGGTGCTGCAGGAAGTACAAGTGCAAATTGTTGAGACAACAGCACTTGTGGTGTTCAGAGAATTAGGACATGAGATTTACTCCTGCTTCCAACCCGCTTCACTGCATTTACATTCAAAGCACAAGCTACCTCTTTCAAAGTAGCCAGCAAAGAATTATTTTGTTCTCTCCACCACTGCAGAAACAAAAAATGGATACTGAAAGCTGACTACTCATCGCAGAGAAAGTTGAAGGGCTCTTTCAGAGATTATAAAAAAAGCAATACAGAGCTGAGTATTGCAAACGTAAAGAATATGGGCTCTTCCACAACTATTGTGGATGTGAATAATCAGTTTAGGTGATAAAGCTGCAGGAATCTTTCTCTCTGTCTTCTGTCCCACCACAACAACAACAACAAGATTCCATTTATAGAGCGCCATTCACGTCAGGAGGACGTCCCAAGGCGCTGCACAGTTGGGTCATGACCCGAGCATTGGGGGGAAATGGTCAGGGGGAGGGGAGGGAAGGGAGGGAGAGAGGAGGGGGAAATGGTCAGGGTGAGGGGAGGGAAGGGAGGGAGCGAGGAGGAGGAAGAGAGTCGAGAGGGGAGCTGAAGGCACGGTCAAAGAGAAAGGTTTTGAGACCGGCCTTGAAGGAGGAAAGGGAGGAAGCAAGGCGAAGGCACTGGGGGATGGAGTTCCAGAGCCTCGGGGCTGAGAGGCTGAAGGCCCGACCACCGATAGTAGGGCGGTTGGGGCGGGGGACGTGGAGCAGACCGGAGCCAGAGGAACGGAGGGTACGGGCAGGTAGGTAGGGGGATAGTAGGTTGGAGAGGTAGGAGGGAGCAAGGCCGTGAATGGCCTTGTAGGTGAGGATGAGGATCTTGAAATCAATCCTCTGGGGGATGGGGAGCCAGTGGAGGCGAGCGAGGGTGGGAGTGATGTGGTCCCGAAGCCTGGTGCGGGACAGTACACGAGCTGCAGAGTTCTGAATGACCTGCAGCTTGTGGAGGGAGGTGGCGGGAAGGCCGGCGAGGAGAGAGTTCCCATAGTCCAGCCTTGAGGTGACAAAGGCGTGAACCAGGGTTTCAGCAGCGTGAGGGGTGAGGTAGTGCCGTAATCTGGCGATATTCCGGAGGTGATGGAAGGCGGTGCCAGTTGTGGTGCGGATGTGAGGGAGAAAGGACAGCTCAGGGTCGAACAAAACGCCGAGGTTCCTGACTGGCTTTGAGAGGTGGAGAGTGCAGCCTTGGATGCTGATGGTGTCAGCGCCTGAGGTGCGGAGGCGCTGACGTGAGCCAATCAGGAGGGCCTCGGTTTTTTGCACGTTGAGCTGAAGAAAGTTGTCTCTCGTCCAGGACTCGATGTCGGACAGGCAGGCTGTCAGGACATCGGTGGTCGTGGAGTTGAGAGTAGAGGAGGAAAGGTAGAGTTGGGTGTCATCCGCATACATGTGGAAGTTAACCCCATGTTTGCGGATGATGTCACCGAGGGGGAGCATATAGAGGGTGAAGAGGAGGGGACCGAGGACAGAGCCCTGAGGGACACCACATGAGACAGTACGGGGGGTGGAGGAGAAGCCATTCGTTGAGACGAAGTGAAGACGGTGGGAAAGGTAAGAGCTAAACCATTCAAGGACAGTGCCTTGAAGGTTGAGGTGGGAGGACAAGCGGTGGAGTAGGATAGCGTGGTCGACCGTATCGAATGCTGCCGATAGGTCGAGGAGGACGAGGAGACAGAGGAGAGGAAATGGTTCATTTCACCATTTATGAAACTGAAATTTATTTGAAATATCTAAGGATTGTCCAATTCTTACCTCCTGTGTCTCCTTCCGTCCGCCCCTGGAGGTAATCTGCGATTGGCTGTGGAGTAATCTGGCTCTGGCTCTGCATCCGCATCCAATTCATACCCGTCGTCATCGGGCCCCAGGCTTCTGTGGTCATCCTCCAGGCCGTAAGGTTCTGGCTGGAAGCGTTCTGGTTGCGATCGGTTTAAATCGACAATGCCATCGGTCTGGACTTGTGGTTGGGCATACTTCTTCCTTGTGGGCAACGTGTAGCTTTCCTCTGGTCTGTAATCGCGTTGCATGTAAGGATAGCGGGGGTAGTAGTGAACTCCTCGTGACAGGCTGCCGTAGTTATCAGACACGTCCGCAAAGCCATCCTGGCCTGGGAACCCACGATACTGGTCATGGTGGTTCTCGTAGGAATCCGGGTAATTGTTGTAGCCTCTGGTTAGTGTCGAATTGGCCTGTGGGGTGATGTAGCGCTCTCCGTTTTTCATGTATCTTCGATCAATGGAATCTGTGTAGCTGCCAGCGGGAGAGGACCCTCCTGTGGGCAAACCATCCGGTCCGAGCGGCACTTGACGGACAGTTCTGGTGGTCACAGTTTTAACCACTTTAGTGACCTGGAAACGTACAAATGTAGTGTTAATGACAGAAGCACAATTTTCTACTGTTCACAGAGTAAGTCAAGTTAGTGTTTTCCTCTATTATTGACTAAACTACTAATAAAGATGCGATGAAAGGATAATCCGTGGAAAGGACACTAAACAAATTACATATACAACAATGAAAATAAAAACTTTTGAATAACACACAAAAATATTCTGCTTTCAGTTAATATAATAATAATCCTTGCATTTGATATAGCACCTTATCACGCTATTGAGACATCTCAAAGTGCTTCATAGGATATACTGTGAAGTGGAATGACTGCATGGGAGAAACGCTGCAGCCAATTACGCACAGTGATTGAATGACTACATTTTTTGTGGGATTATTACCCCCGGAAAGCGATCTGCTAATTGACTAAAAAGCGTGTTACTACTTACTGATAGGTAAACGTGTGGAGTAAGGAAACTTGCCTAGGGTTTCACCCTGCCGGGAATACAATCGTTTGCAATACACAAGCACCAAATAATGCTCTATGTACGCGGGCAAATTTAGAAGTTCATTTCTTTGAATATTTGGAAGTTCACTTCTTTGCAAAGAGTGATCTGCAGCTCATGCTTCACTGCTAAAAAATGTAAACACCTATTGTAAGTGTTTATGTAGGCGCAATTGAAACTGAAATTAATCTGAACACAAACTGTATAACCCTGCAGATTCCAGGACCGAACAAATTAGCTACACAAAGCCCTGCTGTAGTACTGAATAAAATGTAATTTCTATTGCAAGTTGATGTGTCAGGTTATGTTGCAATTTATTTTAACACACTTTAGTGCCGCAGTGATATTTACACACAGATGCATATTTTGGGAAGGAACTTGGTATAAATGAAATCAGACGTCTGATTGGCAGCAGATGATGAAATAATTTCAAAATTACATTCAAACTAACAAAAAGAATGGATTCAAATCTGGATTTAATCATGGAAAAGCTCTTTGATCTGAGTACCTGCACAAAACTGTCTTGACTATTACCCAGAAACATTTGAAGCGGATAAAAAAAATTGTAATCCATTTCAGTTTTCAGTCATCTATCTCTCAGCACGCACAGACTTAGTGTTTTCCTTAATTATTCATTTTATAAGTTTGAATAGAATTATTCTGCACAAAGGCGCATTGAGGCTTCAAATAAGTTATTTCCAATATGGCCAAATGAAGGTTTATTACTACCTATTCTGAAACATGTACTGAAGATACTCAACGTATTACCACCAATTTCACATCTCCAGAGTGGACACAATTAAACGTTCCTGAACATAAGAATCTGAAATAACCTTTGCACAAAAAAGTGTAATTTATTCAGCTTCTTGCAAACCAATCAATTACTTTTTACCAAAACAGCAAAACCCCAAATATGAACACTAGTCACTTAAGATCAGCGAGATCAAAACATTAACTTCTGCCAGAACAGCTCATCACTTTATTGGACACAAACAAACATGTATTCAACAGGACTGTTAAAAGAATACTGCTGCTTTTTTAATGAAGTTTGAAAGTTTAAATCTGCCGGCTCTCCAAGGTCACTGAATGAGTGGGAGTTCACTATACTGTGGGAAAAACAGAACGCGTTACTGGATTCCCAGCTCCTGCACATACGAAACGCTGCTCAACACATACAGGATCATACGTTTTTTTACAGTTGCTCATACACCATCGCAGTTTTCAAATACTGTCCATGGGCACATCAAACTGAGCTGTAATCCACTGTCCAGCACACCATGAAACACAGCGACCACTCAAAGCATTGCCATGCAGCAGGTAAATTGAGCAACACCCCACCTGCTCAGCCGTTGGTGCAGAGAGTGTTCATTTTAGAAGCCAGAATTCTGTCCACACGACTAAAGAAATGCCAACCACTTACCACCATTCATTCTTTCCAACCATATTAAAAGCACACGTTGGTTTATCAGTGCAAAACGGTCAATGTTCGAAGCACAAACATTCCAGTTAGGGACACCACAGAATTTTTGGATTGAAAGTTAAGATCGATACATGAATAATGCTATTTCCCCCCCAAAATAAAAGTCTTAAATTTGTTAAATTGATGCCAGGATAAATAAAAATGATTTCAAAGATATTGTGACATCCCTAAATCCAGGAGGATTAATAAGCACAAAGAGAAACACACTGAATGCAAAACTCCTTTTCAAAAGATGGTCAATTACTGGGTCAATATCCAGAGCGACTGTCTGAGCCTCGGTCGAGGCCTGTGTGACCGTCACTGGGTGGTAGGAGCGTCGCGTGATGATTTTAACAATTTTCGTCACCTATGAGCAGATGCAGGTTGGCACGAAGGTTAGTATCTTGCTGTAATAAATTCACTAAAGGCAAAGTATGGTTTAACAGATACAGTGTAAGGGGTCAGGTTATGCACTGTTCTCTGGACTTTTAACAATTGAAGCTCAAAATATTTCTAAGGTTTTAAAAACAGTAATAATAATATTTGCATTTGATATGATGCCTGATCGAGTCTTTGTGACGTCTCAAGGTGCTTCACAGCATAGATTGAAAAGTGGAGTGACTGTATTTGTGGGTGAAACGCGGCAGCCAATTGCGTTGAATCACATTAATGCTGAAGGACAATAAAATCAGACCATATCCAGGATTGCTCCATTCAAAGAATTTTAAATGTGCAACTTTCCCCTGATTAGGATACACAGTACATTGCGAGATGTGGATTTCATTTACCAGAAAGCTTTCCAACTGCCATCACCTGAACCAGGCAGCAGTTGCCAGAGCACATCAGCGATAACTTGTATTATGTAGGATCAAATCTGTATCCACTTTCGACACTGCTCATTGTACATTCTGATCAGTGCAGTGGCTGTTCTAAGCAGTATGATATACAAGAGATCTTTGTCCAGCAAGCTTTGGTAACCCTGTATTTCCAGATTTTCATTAAATATTGCAATGAAATGCTATCCAAGAAAATATACAGAACAATCAAAATGTGTTTAATACCCAGACAACCTAGAAAGATGACAAAAAAACTGTGCAAATCAGAATCCTCAACATGTTGAGTTTAAGCCCTCACCTTAGTCCCTGTCCGCCCTGCAGGGAATGACATTCATGAAACTACAACATATTTCATACTACAAAATGACTGGCTCTTTGCAAAAGGTGACCCTGGCAGTTGTGAGAGGAGCTATGATGCAAAGTGGATGATTGTAGTCCCACTAGTTTTCTAGACATTGCAGCGCCCTTCGTATGCTGAAAATACCCAGTGCAATTTACAGCTCGGTTTTCAAAGAAAATAATTCAAAAGATTTCTGAAGCTCATATTTATCCGACTGAAATGTATTAAGTGCAAAACGGCAATCATGACTGTGTAAAGAAATGACCGGCATTAACATTTTACTGGCATAAGCTAATTCAGCTTGCCATCCCTACGCACCCAATTAAAATACGAAATTATATAATCGCTTTGCAAGAATTCTCATTACAGCTTCATTATAGCAAAGCTCCAGGAAGCCAACGTCAACACTGGAACATGTCACAGAATTGCCCGAGAAATTGGCTATCTCCTGAAACGCAAACAAAATCAGTCATTTTCATACCAAATCTCCAGCCGCACCATTCAGGTGATTTTGAGCCAGTGATGAGTTTTGTAGTTCTGTAACAGGTTAGATTTTCAGTGCAAAGCTGCTCACAATTCAGTGATGCAAATGGATTAGAAGTCTGGTTGCCCTATTGTAATGTGCGATTGAATGAGCAAAAATCAAATTGTCGGCCACGATATTGGTGAATGTTGAAAAACCAGTTGAACATCAAATCCTTTATCTTCATCTTTTACTAACTTTGGACGTCTTCTTGGTCTCCACTCTTCGCTGTCTGTACAGCCCAAATGGTATGAAATGTACTGAACTTTACTTCAAGTGAAATGCGCCTTGGGATGTGCTCCCGACATGCAAGGCGCTATACAAATGTAACTGTGTTGTTGCTGAGGTCTACTGGAAGGATACTGATGACACTTACATCTCTCCGTGATGAGTTGCTGAATAGAACCCTGCTATCGCTACAAATAGGCATAAAACTCACCTCAGGCTGATTTGCTTTTCACATTTCGATCAACAAGAAGAAGAACTCACCTTAGTCTCTGTCCGTCGTGTGGTTCCATCATCCGATGTCACCACAGAAACATGGGAGGTAGGGGTTCCTGGGTCCTCTTCAATGGTAACCGTTTCTTCCACTAGCTCTTGCGGCTCCTGCATTATTGCTTTGGACGTCTGATTACTGGGGCTTTGCTCCTGGAAGAGAAACAAAGTATTTTATAAGCATGTTTGTCTTGTACACCAACTTTCATTGACCAGTTCAGTTGTTGCAACAAAGCATGTTTAACCCTCAAAGTCTCGGTTATGTTCGGTGATCACAGCTAGAGCAGAAATAGAGGTGCTAGGGTTCGTCCCAATGTTTGTGTTAAGGGATTTTAAAAAATCCTACTTCTGACTGCTAACCAAAGACCTCTGCGTGAAGAAGCAGATTTGTGCTTTGGTAAGGACTAACAGAGTTTGGTGGCAAAGCCCTCCAGGGTCAGAGGGCCTCCTGACGCTTGCTTAAACGAGATACTGGAAGCAACAGGTATTGGCGGAGCCTTTACCAAATTGGAAGGTCAAATTAATCAAATGCTTTCAGAAGGAGTACAAGAGAAACAAAAAAAGTCAGAAAGGTAGTTTATACCTTTAACTTATTCCCCTTTCCATGCTCCCTGCACTAAGCCAAAGTCGCTTGCAAATATAGTTGCTCATTAGATGGAGTTGTTAACAGCATGCACAATACTAAACAAAACACAAAACACTGCAGATGCTGGAAATCTGAAAATGTTCTGATGAAGGGTCTTGGACCCGAAGTGTTGACTCACTTTCCTTTCTCCATAGAAGCTGCCTGACCTGCTGAGTGTTCCCAGCGACTTCTGTCTACTAAATGCTGCCTTATTTCCTTTTGTTTAAAAAAAGAGAAGGCTACAGAAAAGGCTAAGCGGAAACTGCCACAACAAATTACCCCTCAAAGAATCAAGACCTGATATAAAGATGCCAGATAACTTTGAAAAACTCACTTCAAGAATATTTTTGGAAGAGGCAAGACAAACATTTTTCATAAAGGCAATGATTTTACTCTGCTTTTTCTTGGAATTAAATTGAAGTCAGAGTCAAAGTTAACACAAAAATCTAATTGCACAACCACTTGAAACAGCGAATTACATAAGTGAGCAAGACTTACTCAAGGCCACTCCAACATCAGAAAGACATGGCCAGTCCGCTAGGTGAATTTCTAGCACTGAACCTGCCCATAAAAAGCTACTGCACTGCATTCCAACCTCTGCGGCAATCCACACATTCCTGCACAGAATACTAGGGATAAATCTGCACATACCATTGCTCCTGTTCACAGCTTCGGCTGAACGCCTGTGCTTCGAAGACAGAAATACAACCGAGAGCTAACTCCTCAATGAAATCGGCTTGCCAGTATATGCATTGGATTAGAGGAAAATCTGTGACTCGTCTACATGTCTTTTTGTGTTCACAAGCAGCGGCTGCACATTTTTGTGAGCTATCCTTGTTACAGTCTACAGTTTCACTCTTTTATTCCAGCTCCCAATACACAACACACTACTAGTCTGCCCAGACTGCAGTCAGCTGAGATAATCATATTCTAAATCTACGAATTTTACAGCTTACCCTGGTCACCTCCACAGACCGTTTTAAAAAAATTAGCACTTGGTGTTCAACAGAAAAGAATGCACTCTGAATGTTATGCATCAGCCGCCCTCACCACCCCCAAGTAAAAATAGAAACTAACGTATGTGGTTTATAATACGGGAGCAATTCAATTAGTGTTTCCTTCATTGAAGTGAAATAAAAATCCACAAATTGAATTATGTGGGATATTTTTTCATTAACAGTCATCTACAAGGAAGCAGTCCTTTCCATTCATGCACACTGTTCAGGTCACATCAGAGAATAAAATTTGAAACTAACCACTGCTTAGCTCTCTGTAAATGGCTCAGAGCGTAAGTGGATCATAAGGCAAGATTTTTTTCTCATCTTCAAAATCACATTGATGCAGTTCGATCCCTCTTTGCTGGGCAATCTCACTCACGGCAGTGATAATGATGCCCATAGTTAGTGTCTAGTCTCCTGGCTTGATTGAAGCTCACACATTTAAACAACCTTCTTTTGCAGATAGATTCCTAACAAACATTCATTCCAATAAGACACAAGTTTGAACATGCTGAAGATTACACTGCTAAAAGTGAAATTCAGCTAACAGAAGCCATTGATGACTCACTGCAGTGTTAACAGCGGGTATACTTCAAACCTTGTTGGTTTCCTTGGCTGATAACTTTAAGATCTCCATAGCATCTATACTGCAATCACTGAGTAGAACTGCAAAACATCATAAATTCTGGTGAAGATTTCTCATCAAGGTAAGGGAGCGTGCAAAGCAATCAAACACTATCAGCATTTGGCACTGAGTCAGGATCAGGTATTCCCAGGTCAGACACCAGTTATCTATCTCCCCTACAGGTGGCTCAGACTGCCAAATCTCCATCACTCTGCCCCTCATATCCAACTGCACTAAAATGAAATTTTCCCACATATTACACACACCATTCTCAAGGCCTTAGCGAATGAATGAGATCACCCATTAATCCTATTTATCATCAGTTTGCTGTTGACCCACGGGATGCGATTTCCCCAGTGATCTTTGCATTCAGCAGACTCATTTAATCAGTCTAGACTGGAGACACCCAGGTCCCAGTGGGTATAGGTCAGTGTGTGATGCATTGAATCACCAAATCTCCAAACGTACACAGCTTTATCAAGTTATTTTGGCTACTTATTGACAGTCACATTAGCAACCTGACCAGAACCCTTGGCTGCCTTAGTTAGTTGTTGTGATTTTGTGGTACAAACAACTAATCTTACCTCAACATTCATGTTGGCTTTGTTTTTACATAATAGGATATTACGCGTTAAACAATGACTCTTAATTCCTACAAGACTGCACTTCCTGTTGGAACGCCTGCTTCAGACGCTCCCACGTCGGGTCACAAACAGCTGCTTCGCTTTTCCACAGATCGGAACACAAGCTGCTCTGTTCAGCTCTAAAGAAATCAATCCCACCAGTGAAACTCAGGCTACTGGCTCGAAACTCGACAATAAGCAACTTTTACAGCACCCTGACCATCAAAAGGAGCTCTGTTAATGCAGAACTGACGAAACCAGTTTTGACTGCTAAATTGACAAGGATGATGAATGAAACACAAGGAAAGTTAACCTTGATCAAAACATGTGTAAAACTTTAAAAGGAAAAAAAATGCCGCAAGGAGAAGACAGTTAATAGTCTCGTCACTGATCTTATCACATTTGCCTAGGACTGAACACACAAAATAAGTATTAAATAATACAGCTCAGCCTTCCAGGTTTTACACGTTCAAACTCTTTAAACAGTTTAAAGCAAAACCACAAGCCAATGCCAAACAAGCAACAAACATTCACTGGGACATGACTACTTTGCTCCACGTTGCTCATTTAAACAACTACAGTGACTTTTCAAAAGATAAGTTTCTTGCTAAAATAACTATTATTTTATAACTATTATAAGTGAGCGACCTGGGTTCGATTCCCAGCAGGGTGAAACCTTGGGCAAGTTTCCTAACTCCACACGCCTGATAATAATCCCTCAAGAAAAAACAATAAGAAATTGGTCATTTCAATCCACGACTGTTTGTGGGACACTGCTGTGTGCAATTGGCTGCCGCGTTTCACCCACAAATATACAGTTAATTCACTTTACAGTCTATTCTGTGAAGCGCTTTGAGACGTCGAGAAGATGTGAAAAGCGCTATATCAAATGCAAGGATTATTATTTTTATTAAATTGCCTTACAATCACCTTTCATGTCAGGATCCCCTCCCGACGTGAAGGTGCTTTATAAATGTAATTTTGCTGTTTACTGTTGTTAAATACCACAATATATTTTGCCTCTTGCAATTAGACCACATAAAAGATTTAATGAGGAAGTTTGCCTTGCTCCCTCCCTTGCCAAGACAACAACAAATTAGACCCTTCTCTTCGACCATGCCTTCTGTTACCCTCCACCCCACCCAATCCCAACCCCCTGCTTGGGTCTAAATCCCTGACTGTTCAGCAATTTGGGACGTTCTCCCGATGTGAAAGTCCTGTAGCTCAGTGGTTAGAGCACTCGCTTTGCAAGTGAGAGACCTGAGTTCAATTCCAGGCAGGTCAGGACGAAACCTTGGGCAAGTTTCCTTACTCCACACAGAGCCTAATAATAATCCCTCCAAAACCAAAAACAATAATAAATTGGTCATTTTCAATCTACGACTGTTTGTGGGACATTGCTGTGCGCAATTGGCTGCCGCGTTCGCCCACAAATATACAGTCAATTCACTTTACAGTCTATTCTGTGAATCACTTTGGGACGTCTAGAAGACGTGAAAAGCGCTATATCAAATGCAAGGATTATTATTATTATTATTAAATGTAATTTATTGTTGTTGAAAGGCAAACGCTGAAACAGATATGAAGATGTTAACACATTTAAATTATAACCAGCAATTGATAAAAATAGTTTCAGAAGATTTCAAAATCAACCTGAACGTACATTAAGCTGTTGATTAAATCGTCCTATTTGCATCACAAGACGATGTTGCAAAGCAGCCTTGGCAAACAGTTACTTAAACATCTAACATGCGAAACCAAGGGAAAGCTTTATCTATTCAAACTTTTAACCCACCGATACACTGCTAAACGTGAAGTCAGCTGAGTGGTAGCGTACATGAAAGGTACCGTACAAGTGGAAAATGTCATCTCTCCGTTCACCTTGGGGTACATGATATTGACGGTAACCATCTGCTCTGGAACCTTCAACAGACATACTGCACCTTGTGGGACACAGATAGCCAACATACCAATAGCGGGGAGGGTCAGATTCTAAAAGATAGTACCATCACCCTCCCCCCGACTCTTCCGAGAAATGAAAACACAAGTTGAATACATCTTTGGCTTTGTGGGAAGTTTGTGTGCCTCTGATGAGCAAGACAGAACAAACCACTTATTGTCCACAAAGTTAACCACAAAGAAACCATTCCATTGTTTGAGATTCTATACAGTACAACGTATGTAGCACCATCTCTCCAACCAGCGTGAACAAAAGCATGTGGGTAACTCATTAGTGGCGTCTGCTAAACGGGGCATAAACTGATTTGAATGCTTTCACTCAA